GGTGAGAAAACCTGGATTTGTGCTGGAAATGGCCCAACCTGATGATCACTTTAGATAAGCTATTACCAGCAGGACAGTGGGCTGGGAGGAGGTATTGTTTCATATTCTCTGTGTGTATATAAAGTCTGCTGCAGTTTCCACGGTCTGCATCCGATGAAGTGAGCTGTAGCTCACGAAAGCTCATGCTCAAATAAATTGGTTAGTCTCTAAGGTGCCACAAGTACTCCTTTTCTTTCATCTTTTAGGAAACACTAACAGCAGCAGCAACAAGGACAGCACATCTCAACTGACTTATTCTCTTTTTCTCAAAAAGGACAGTTATTATCATCTTTGATACCATCTAAAAGATTGTCCAGCAAGGGGTTTTCTCCTAAAAACTCTCGCCAGCTAACGGGAAAGGGAACAAAGAGGGCAGTGAAAATGAAAGCCTGATTTAATAGTTTACATTTCAAACGCTTTAGCTGTTTTCCCCTCTTTTCTGTCTCTTTAATAAGAATTTTAATGTTGTGTTTGCCATCATACTAAGCAGGCTGAGGCCTCTGTATACCAAACCCCGAACCTTGTTTGAAACTGTTTAAGTTTGAACCATGACTGGGTTATGTTAACACCTCTGACATTTTGGGCCCATTTATTCCATCTAAATTAAATACCACAGCACCTTAGATAATAGCTCTTTCCCTGACCTGGTAGAACAATTGCAATCAGCAGAGATGCTTCAAGTGTCAGTCAGCAGGGTGGAGGTCTGAGAGACAGGGCCAGGGTTTTCTCAGAGGAAGGAACTCAGCAGGAATTAGCTCTTGCTGGAGATCAGTCTCAGCCCAAGTTTTACAACCTTCAGAGTATGAGGCAAGCCACATTTTCCTGTTTGGTCCTTTCCTTGACTAAGTTAAGTACTAATCTGGCACTCTCTGAAGCTAAACTTATTTAGGAGGCATTTCTGAGATAGAAGAAGAGAAGAATTACTCATGTAATAACAACAATTTATGCGCAGTCATACTCAGACTTGAGAGTTTTAAAAGATGCAGTGTCAGCCTTAACTCTGATTTACCTTGCTTTTGTTAAGTCAAACATTTAACACATGTATTCATTTCTTTCATAATTCTGCAATACGGTAAATGTAAAATTTGTGTGTGAAGAGCATTACAGAGGGAGCAGGGTGGGAACTTCACTATAAGTGATCTAGGCACAGAAAAAGCACTAGTCACAGCCTCCCTTACACACAAAAGCTTGATCTATTAAAGGTCTCATGCTGAGGACAAAGCAGGCCCTTCAAAGCCTCTGGAAAACATATTATACAATAATATTACAAATAAAATCTACACACATACATATATATATACACACACACATACTATGGATCGGTGTCTATTAGGAATTGATATGAAATGCTAATTACTTTACATTCTTTCCTTAGATAGGATCAGGTAGACATAGAGGGCAAATTAATTGCAGTGAAAATCATCAGGGAACACAATATACACTACTACATTTTTTTCCTGAAATATTTGGTTGCTTTTCCAGTTAAACTGGATCTGATTAAGTCAGCTCCTGGATTTGAGTCAATCAGAGAAGATGACTCCGAAAGCCTGATTCAATATATTTCCTCTGCTAAGTCAGTTGAGTTGAGTCCTTGTTCTAATGTGTAATATCTGTCACTAAGGGACTTAGGGACAGATTTTCAAAAGCATTAAAGTGCCTAAAGATGCAGTTAAATTCCTAGTGGGATTTTCAGAAGTCCCTAAGTGAGTTAGGTGGTTAAATCCCTTTAGAAAATCCCACTAGGTCTTTAGCTACATCTTTAAGCACCTAGCTATCTTTGAAAATCAGGCCCTTGTTATATATTTGCAATAACCAGATTTTGAGTTGCCAATAACCAGTCTGCTTGTCAGCAAACTCCATTTTTACCCCTATGGCCCTGAACTGTGATATAATCAGATCTTAGAATCTGACAGGCAAACCTCATCATCCCTTGGGCTGGACTCCTTCACTGTCTCTTGCTTAGCTCACAGTGGAACATATCAAAAGTTAATATAACCCAGAGCTGTTTGAACAAGCATGCTTCCATACTGTGGATCCCTTTCAGGAATCTGGGGACAGCTGCAAACGGCAAAGCCCCAGGAAGCACAGCTTCTGAAGGAGCATGGACTTTTGTGGGGGAGGCTATGTAGGATTTAAGGATCTGAGCCTGTCACTTCACTGGTAGTTTTGTCTGAGTAAAGACTGAGTAAATAAAGTAAGTAATACCACAGTGTACACAGACAATGACAGTCCAAGCAAACTGCTTTATGGGTAGAGCTGGGCAGGAATTTTTTGTCAAAACAGCTTTTTGTCAAAAATGCTGATTCATCAAAACAGAAAATATTCACTGAAATGTATCCATTTTGACTACACTTTTGTTGGGTATGTTTCTCAGGTTTAGAATGGAATTTCCAGTCAAAACCAAAGAGACAGAGAACAACTCATCCCAGCACAGCCAATCATTCATCTAGCATATGGGAGACACTAGTCCAAGACCTTGCTGTGTACCAGGGACTTGAACCTGTACCAGTCACATCCCAGGTAAATATCATACCATCAGGCTATAGAATCAGTTTCTTGCTAGCCTACTGAATATTTAATTATTGCACCAAGTGGACCAGCTCCAACAGAGGAGAGTAAAAGAGCCCCACTAGCCAATAGCCCAGTGCTCTCCTGGATTGTCGGGGGGGAGGGATAGCTCAGTGGTTTGGCCTGCTAAACCCAAGGTCATGAGCTCAATCCTTGAGGGGGCCGTTTGGGATCTGGGGCAAAAATTGGGGATTGATCCTGCTTTGAGCAGGGGGTTGGACTAGATGACCTCCTGAGGTCCCTTCCAACCCTGATATTCTATGAAACCCAGGTTCAAGACCTTGATATGAATCAGACAGAGCAAGGATGCAAACCTTTTTATTTATGGAGTTTTGCATCTCTAGTTATAAAACAACTTTTTATAAATGTTGCCTTTAAAATGTACTTTTACACTAAAAATAATATAAAGAAACAGTTGGTTAATGTGCTGTGTTTCATCTTTTATGCTGAACAAAAAGAAAGAGTTTTAACAGGGGAAGATGCATGGTTAGTGCTGGGACTGGGGGCTCAGGAGATTATTTCTGCCTCTGCCCCCAGACCTGTTGTGTAACTTTGAGCAAGACACTACGGGTGTGTCTACACTTAGGGCTGCGGGTGTGATTCCCAGCTCGAGGAGACATACTCGCTCTAGCTCAAGCCAGCACGCTAAAAATAGTAGTGTAGTCTCAGAAGCACTGGCAGGGTGAGTGGCAAGAGGGGCTAGCTCAGCTGCCTTGAGTACAGACCTGTCTGGAGCCCATGGACATGTATTTGCGTGGCTAGCCTGAGCCACTGCCCAGGCTACTGTGGCTATACTACTACTCTTAGCTCTCTAGCTCTCACTGAGCCAGTATAAGTGTCTCCTCGAGCTAGGAATCACGCCCCCCTCCCCCGCCCCAGCCCCAGCTCCATGTGTAGATATACCCTTAATCTTTCTGTGCCTCAGTTTTCTCACATCTAAATGGGCAAAATAATGGGAGAATAATACATTCATGTCTGTAAAGCACCATTCTCCAATGGAAGTGTAAGCTAAAAGTGCAAAATAATACTTTTATCACTCCCTTCTAAATTCTTTATAAATGTTCATGAAGTTTAACAAAAGTGAGTATAAAAAAACCTCAATGTTACATTCAGACCACTTTTTTCTCAGGGGAGCTCTCCCCCCCTTTTTTTTTTTTAGAAATAACAAAAAGTTACAGGAATCAACACTGGAATTTTTGATTCCTGGCTGGATTGAGATTGTATGTTTCTCAGAGGTAATATATCTTACTTCAAGTTACATACATCAGGGGCAGGTCCTTGGTGACAATTTATACCAGTTTAGGATCAGACCCATAATATACAACAGCTATTGGCAAAGTTAGAGACAACTGCAAGAAAGTCATCTCAGGAGTCAGTGTTCTCTGTGATCATAGGAATGCAGGAACTGGCATAGTGCATCATGCTAGAGGTGCATCTAGTCTAATATCTTGGATCCAAGAGTCGCCAGTACCAGTTGTTTAACAGAAAGGTGAAACTATATATTGTGAAATAACTAGCCCATAAATAATTTTTTCCCCAATTCCTGTCAGCTACAGGCTGTCTTATGGCTAAAAATATGACAATTGATAGCCCTCAGGTTTTTTTTTCAGTCTAGTCTAACTCTGGATATTCTCATTATCCATATAAATGTTTAATCCCTTTTTTGAATCCTATGAAGATGTTGGTCTTAATTGTGTTTAGGCATGGAAGGATTAGATTTTTTATTAGTGAATGTCAGTAACCGTTGATTTCTCCACACACGCACAGAGTGATGAAAAAATACATCCAACAATAATAATCAAAATTTACAGGTAGGCAAAGAAAGAAAAGTAGTGTCTGAGACCTTATTAGAGTTTGATTTAAGGATATTTCGTTTATATAGTTTGACATGTGATATTGACAATTTGTGTTTTAATGGCTATAATGCTTTACTATTTTTAATCTGAATGTCTACTGTCATTAAATAAGTGTTGTCTCATTCCCCCATAGTCTGCCCATGCATAATTTCCTGTAATTGCAAAAAAATAAATAAATGCTTAAACCCCATAATTTTGCATAACTGTGAACATTTTAATCGATAAAAAAACAAAATGCTTAAAAATAAACATAGATATTTTCCTTTGAAATTATAAAAAGGTAAGAATTGAATTCTGCCAAGCCTAATTATATTTGTGGCAGTGAGTTCTACAGGTTAACTACCCTGGATAGTTTTCTATACCTCAAAACCAGATCTCATTTACTGGGCCATAAGTTTCAAAATGATGGATAACTGGAGACCTCAAAAGATAATGCAGAAAGGATCATTCATATGTTTTCAAGCATAAAATATATGTTTTGTCATTTAAGAGGTTTTAAAGCCTACTATGAACACAAAGTCAATAAGAGAGACTTACCACAACTATGTATCGAGGCCTAAACTGGATGGTTCCAAACAAACCCAATATGACAATTATTATATGTAGAAAATTGCCAAGAATAGGAGCCCACTGGAAGCCAAGAAAGTCAAAGATCTGCCTCTCTAATGCAGCCAGCTGTAAGGAAACACATAACAAGACATTAACAGTTTAATTTGGGGTTATTCAGAATATTTGTTATTTTTATGTCATTGCATGAGACTCTACCAGATTGACTTGGATTGGAGTTCTGTGGAGGCTGGAATTCTGAGAGCTGGACTGATAACTGAACATGTTTGCTTAACTCGTATACCAATTATTTTAGCGATAGAGCACTTAAAAATATTTCTAGTTACATTGCCCCCTGGCTGATTTCAGTATTGTCTCACAGCTTAGCAGATAACCAAAGACTGGTAAATTCTCATCCAGAATTAACTTGTCCTGGTCTGCTGGGAGCAATGTTTGCTGATATTTATTTATTTAAATACAAAAATTGTTTCAAACAGCTATCAATATAGATAATGCCATCACGTTTCCCTCACTGTTATCATCCTTCCTCCCCTATTCCTTTCATTTTGTTGCATCTAGTCTTAATTATATTGTAAGATGTTTGGTCTCTCGCTATGGGTGAGATTCTCACCCACTCTTTGGCCTATTTACACTGGGTAAAAAGGTCAGAGCAGCACAGAGTGGCTCTAAAACCCCAGATCCAGCTAGGGGAGGATTTCCCTGGCATAGGAACTGAGGAAGCTGGCTGTCCTCCAAAGACCTCGTCTCAAGCCCTGGCATAGGGACAGGGACAGGAAGCTGTGGTAACGGCAGGGCCACAGCATGTAGTGCTGTGGAGACTGTGGGCATCACTGTTGCCCAGAGGCGGCTGGGAACAAATTGATGGACCACTGTTAGCCGCTCAGGACCGTGTAGGTTATGCCAGGGGCCACTTCAGCATACTACCTTATTCCCCCTCCTCCCAGGCTGAAAGTTCTGTGCTGTGCCTCTTACGGGAGCAGTATAGAATCTCACCCTATATTTTTGTAGACCCCAATGGCATCCATATCAAGACTGGGCCATCCAGGTGCTACTATAAATTTAAAACCATGATCATTTCTAGCAAAAAGTCTGGACTAGAAACCTCTCCCCTGCTCACCTCCTTTGCAAATACAGGTTTTTAAACATCTTTGCATCAATGTTACTATTTTGATTCTCCAGCACTCACTCTTGACGGTCCAAAAATTGCTGTAAAGATACTAAAATCAGCTTTTCTGGCAATTCACTTGTTGAGTGTTAAATCTGGTTCAATATTTTTCCAGATGTAGCAAAACATTTTTGAGCTGCTAAACAAAATACCATGACTGAATTTCTATGCATGCCAGAAAGAAAAGGAGTACTTGTGGCACCTTAGAGACTAACCAATTTATTTGAGCATGAGCTTTCGTGAGCCACAGCTCACTTCATCAGATGTGTACCGTGGAAACTGCAGCAGACTTTATATACACACAGAGAATATGAAACAATACCTCCTCCCACCCCACTGTCCTGCTGGTAATAGCTTATCTAAAGTGATCAGCAGGTGGGCCATTTCCAGCACAAATCCAGGTTTTCTCACCCTCCACCCCCCCACACAAATTCACTCTCCTGCTGGTGATAGCCCATCCAAAGTGACAACTCTTTACATAATCAAGTCAGGCTATTTCCTGCATAGATCCAGGTTTTCTCACTTCCCCCCCCACCCCCAAACACACACAAACTCACTCTCCTGCTGGTAATAGCTCATCTAAACTGACCACTCTCCAAGTTTAAATCCAAGTTAAACCAGAATATCTGGGGGGGGGGGTAGGAAAAAACAAGAGGAAACAGGCTACCTTGCATAATGACTTAGCCACTCCCAGTCTCTATTTAAGCCTAAATTAATAGTATCCAATTTGCAAATGAATTCCAATTCAGCAGTTTCTCGCTGGAGTCTGGATTTGAAGTTTTTTTGTTTTAAGATAGCGACCTTCATGTCTGTGATTGCGTGACCAGAGAGATTGAAGTGTTCTCCGACTGGTTTATGAATGTTATAATTCTTGACATCTGATTTGTGTCCATTTATTCTTTTACGTAGAGACTGTCCAGTTTGACCAATGTACATGGCAGAGGGGCATTGCTGGCACATGATGGCATATATCACATTGGTGGATGTGCAGGTGAATGAGCCTCTGATAGTGTGGCTGATGTTATTAGGCCCTGTGATGGTGTCCCCTGAATAGATATGTGGGCACAATTGGCAACGGGCTTTGTTGCAAGGATAAGTTCCTGGGTTAGTGGTTCTGTTGTGTGGTATGTGGTTGTTGGTGAGTATTTGCTTCAGGTTGCGGGGCTGTCTGTAGGCAAGGACTGGCCTGTCTCCCAAGACTTGTGAGAGTGTTGGGTCATCCTTTAGGATAGGTTGTAGATCCTTAATAATGCGTTGGAGGGGTTTTAGTTGGGGGCTGAAGGTGACCGCTAGTGGCGTTCTGTTATTTTCTTTGTTAGGCCTGTCCTGTAGTAGGTAACTTCTGGGCATGCCAGAGTTTGTTACACTTGATTTTACTTATATTGTTACGTACCCTAAAAATTACCAAAATATGCACTTAAAATATTGATACTTAGGCAGATGGAGAGTGTACAGCCCAATGAATACCAACCAAATCAATATCATATGTGGGTATATCATTTAGTTCAAACATTTTATTTTACACATAATGGACCATACTCATTTATAGGCTTTGAACATATTTAGCTGAGAGTGAATCTGGCCCGTTCTCTTTAAAACTCAGCCAGTGGGGAAGAGCTCTTTTTTCTGGTCTCATTTGTTGGGCTGTTTTCTCCTATTCATTAAATTATTTGTTACTATCCCCAAAACCCACAGAATGCATGACTGGTGAAGATCTACGGAAATCTTGAGAGGAAAGGGATGGGTAGTACTATTGTGCTGTTTCAAAAATCTACCCTCTTCTAGGTTATAAAACCTTATTTGTGCATTTGGAAAGTACATAGCACACTGTAGGCATTACCTAAAACAAATAACTAATAACAATAACAACACTAATGGTAACAGAAGGACAGCATTTCTAGTTCAAGTGCACCAAATAATGCACTTGCACAGCTATTATTATTATTTCTATTGTGGTAGCACCTAAAAGTAACTCTCAAACAGAGATTAAGGCCACCCACCTTTAAACACCTGTGATAGGGTCGGGCCAGATGGCTACAGGAGAGTAATAGAAGGCAGATATATTAGCCCCAGGTTAAGTAGGTCCCTTTTCCCTGGGTAAGGTAACAGGGAAGGTACCAGAACAATCAGGAACCTTCTGGAGACAATTAAGACAGGCTGATTAGAACACCTGCAGCCAATCAAGAAGCTGCTAGAATTAATTAAGGCAGGTTAATCAGGGCACCTGGGTTTTAAAAAGGAACTCACTTCAGTTTGTGGTGTGCGTGTGAGGAGCTGGGAGCAAGAGGCACTAGGAGCTGAGAGTGAGAACATGGACTGTTGGAGGACTGAGGTGTACAAGCATTATCAGACATCAGGAGGAAGGTCCTATGGTGAGGATAAAGAAGGTGTTGGTTGGGAGGAGGCCATGGGGAAGTAGCCCAGGGAGTTGTAACTGTCGCACAGCTGTTCCAGGAGGCACTCTAGACAGCTGCATTCCACAGGGCCCTGGGCTGGAACCCAGAGTAGAGGGCGGGCCCAGGTTCCTTCCAAATCCTCCCAACTCCTGGTCAGACACAGGAGGAGTTGACCTGGACTGTGGGTTCAGAAAAACGGCCAAGCTGAGGGCTGTTGTGAAGCTCCAAGGCAAGCAAATCCGCCAATAAGTGCAAGACCCACCAAGGTAGAGCAGGAACTTTGTCACACACCCTACAAGTAACTAACCCAGACAATCCCGGCTCCAGAAAGCTCACAACTTGAATTTAAACAATAAGTTACAATAAGCAGATAAATAAGCAGATAAATGGGAGAGGGGGAAGCAAGTGCGTGGATATGGTAACACTAGGTACAAGTGGGTTTGCATAAGTAGTAGTTTCAGTAGTCACAGGTGACTATCAACCTAATCCATGCCGGGTAGTAAGGACTGATAGGTAAAGAAAAGTTATAAGGAGGAATTTGGAGCCATATACTTATAAGCTGGTTGACAAGTCACCAAAATATTTTTGCTGATAAATGCCCTTTTGCTAAAAAGAAATGTTCAAAAGAAAATTTCTGCTTTCTTCTGCAATTACAAAACCCTGGTTTTTTTCAGATTTTGGCAATCAAAAACAAAAACTTTGTGGTTTTCAGTTTTTGAAAACCAATTTTTTTCAGTTCTTAGGTAATGAAAACCTGAAAAAAAGTTTGTGAAAAATGTTGATGAAAACTTAAAATAAACTTTCTTCAGAAATTTACAGAAGATAAACTACATTTCCCACCAGCTCTCTTTGTGGCTGACTATGCAAATCTTGGTGTTCGTTAGCTACCAGCGTTCCATTACAGTAGTTCTAAGGATGGAAGATCCACTCCTATGATGAAAAGAGCACTACTCCAGTGAGTGGAGATATCAGAGAGTCTAGCAGTAGGACACTATAGTGGGATTATACAAAATCTCTTAATAAGAATGAGTCAGATTTTTGACTGGATTTTCTTCTATGTTTCATTAAGTTGGTCTTACCTTTTCCTGTGTCCTTCTTCCTACAAAGTGCACTGAAAGGGTACTGCAATGATATTGCTGTGCTGCAATGATATTGCTCAATAGTGCTCAGTCATTTTCCTCTGGCCTCTGCCAACCCCTTTCAATTTTCTGTGTTGAAAACCAGAAAGAGATTGGGTTCATCTTAATTCATAGTCCTGCTTGGTTTGATGAGATGAACCACCTCAGATTAACCTTACTTCACTTGCAATGTGAGTGGGGAGGAATTTTCGGTACTAGATATCCTGCTTATCATGATGCAGACACAGAATAAGGGGTCAGACAGCAGGAAGGAAGCCTGTATGAGAACTACAAAAAGTAATCAGACCACATGCCTGACTGTAAGCACCAACAGCTAGCCCCCTATGCAGCACAGTCCTCCAATAATTGTTCAGTCCTATTATGCTTTCCAAGTACAAATCAGAGCTTGTCTGGGTGATGAGCCACCAC